TTGTAAAATTATGGCACCTGGTGTAAAGTCATTTTCAAGAAAATGGTATTTTTGTAAACATTTCCAACGGTGGTCGGCCGACCAGCGTTGGAAAAACCTAACTATTTTTCAACTACTGCTCCAAATGTACCATTTTTTTCAGTCCAAATTTTGTTTGCTATTGGTTACATGTTCATGAACGGGTGCAGGCCAGCTAGACTGGTTCCCTTGCCTTACAATAATTTTCCATCATCTATAAATTGATCCATTTTATCTTTTGTGGAGTCAGGCAACCAGACTACTTGAAAAATTTAGTTTTTCTTGTTTTTTCCAACCTTTCTGAACACAAAACTCAAAAAATGTCAGTGTAACAATATTTGATCTATTATACTAACCTCTCAAATAGTTCATTTCTGAAAATTACAGCAAAAGCCAATGATGTACATTCCCTTTAACTTTCTCTAGAAATTTTCAAAGACTCAATTCAAATTTATAGATGATGATGATTAGAAGAAACTCAAAACTCCTTGTTGATGATTGTAAGGGTACATTGTGAGATTTAGATAAATTTGGACACAGTTATTATTTTGAAAGTGACAATCATAAAAGCATCTGATTTCAATCAAAAACATTAATAAAACAAACCCAATTCCATTTTTCAGATTTTTGTTTCAATTTTTATACAAAATTACCAACCCTGCTTTTGCATAATTTATATTTATACCATGTTACATGTTTAGTTTACCTTCACATATTGATACTCCGTTGCATTATTTACTCTCCAGTAAAACCCAGGTATAATTATACTGTGATTAACTCTACCTAATTTTACAAGAACAAGATCATGTCCTAACTCCTAACAAAAGCTAGCAATTATTTCACCAAGTTATAATCACAACAAATATTGCCCCTCTCAGAATTTCCATCTGTAATTATGGGGTAATTCAAGTGCATGTTAACAATCATTCGTTTAATTAAAATCTTTTGCTACTGCTCTAATTGTAACACTACGACCAAAACTTGTACTATCATAGACCTCAGAATTAAACCTGATGATGAAACACATTTCAAAATGCTTCTTCGTTGTCATTTCTTGCTGGATTTTCGTTCTGTTTGTTTTATCTGATACGGCTATTTGGGGCATTTAAAAAGTCTACACAGATTGTACAAATTAATTAATTATGCAAAGTTATGCAAATTTATTCGTTTTCACAAAAACAGATTCTTCTTGTGTAGACCGATTTTGATTCTGTTGTTTTATCCCGTAGAGTGGGGTACACAGAACACGAACACAGAATTTTGACATTTAACTCCAAGCATTAATTCTGAAAATTTATGGGTGGCTCGTACGATAGATTCGTTAAGTTTTTATTATCATGAAAAGCGGCAAAAAGAAAGTTCTTATAAAATAAATAACTTAACATGAACATTGTAGGAAATGTTTTTATCTTTCTTTATGATTTTTCACCCGGCCGGGCCCTCATGCACGGTAAATAAGGGGGGAATGTGAGGAAGAAAAATATATAAACTGTATTACAAAATTATTGCATTAGTAAAAAGTGAAGGCCTGCAGGAACGTCCGAAATCAACAATGAATATCTCGCGGCGCACGCAGTGAGGCCACGGTAGTACAAGTGTCGAAACAAGGAATGAGATGGAGCTGAAAAGTTCCGATGATCATCAGAATTATGATGAGCGGCCTCACTTGTAGCTCCGGAGCAGCACTGCATTGCACGCATGCGTATTACATAGGAATAAAAGTTTGGTTTCCGCCTCATGTCTTTGAATGGAGCGGAGCCATGTTTTTGTGATGGGCGAATAAGAGGATGCGCGATGTTTTAATCGCGCTCTGCTCTCGGTCGATTGGTCGCAGTTTCGACAGATCGCGCTCAGATCGTGTCAACATAATGTACAGGATCGATGGATTGCGCAAGTGTATGTGGGATATGCAGGTGTGTAGCGCAGATCCATCTAATCGCGCCATTGTTCAGCAAGACAGCGTAAGTGTGAGTTGTGTAAACTGAAGCAAAGAAAACTTCAGAGAAATCGTTGGTCTGTCGGATTAGTTCAATATTGAATGTCCACTATTTTCATTTGGGTGTACCTAAAAGTGTGAAGATGTATGTTTTGTTTGGGGTGGTTAACATAATTTGAGGAAATCGTTGGGGGAAAGATAGCCCCACTAGTGTGGCCGTCGGTATGCTGCGCTGAACCTCTAGCCACACACCGTGGTACCGCGCGCTACTGAGGACGAAGTTTCATAAAATCTGCGGTCCGTTTCTTACATTCTCGGTTTCTTACTTTCTTATGGTTGTATTCTATGATGTTTCACCTATCACTTCTGGGATGCTTAGGTCTAATGATGTTTCATTTTCCGAGATATTCTTCGATCTTTCGGGAGCCCATATGCACTCGTGAAACGTCTGGTGATGGCAGCCATTTTGAATGGGACAAGAGATGACCTCAAGCTGTGACGTCGCGTTTATGCAAATTGCTTGTCGAGCGCGCTGTTTCCTGTGCCCTAGATCCTGAGGGGAGATCGGTGCACGTGGCCCCCTGACGATAAATGCATGGCTGTTTTCTGTACCATGCATTTATCGTCAGGGGGCCACGTGCACCGATCTCCCCTCAGGATCTAGGGCACAGGAAACAGCCGTCGCATTTTCAACTCGCGCCCTCGCGCGCTCGACAAGCAATTTGCATAAACGCGACGTCACAGCTTGAGGTCATCTCTTGTCCCATTCAAAATGGCTGCCATCACCAGACGTTTCACGAGTGCATATGGGCTCCCGAAAGATCGAAGAATATCTCGGAAAATGGAACATCATTAGACCTAAGCATCCCAGAAGTGATAGGTGAAACATCATAGAATACAACCATAAGAAAGTAAGAAACCGAGAATGTAAGAAACGGACCGCAGATTTTATGAAACTTCGTCCTCAGTAGCGCGCGGTACCACGGTGTGTGGCTAGAGGTTCAGCGCAGCATACCGACGGCCACACTAGTGGGGCTAGGGGAAAGAGTGCCGTACACGGGGTATCCCACTTGACAGGCTGTGCATGTTGTTTGTGGCATGGCGTTCGTAAAAACATAACAACCCTATGAATTTTTACGATGAACGAAAGTGCTGTGAAAAATTGACAGTTAAGTGTTTTCTAAGTAGATGCTTCGATTTGCTCACTGCTGAATTGGACTTTTTTAAGGACATGTCATTGCATTTTATGGCTTGTACTTTGTAGGTCACTATTAATTTTAAGTGTTGTCTGGGCCATTTGAACTCTTCCCAAAAATTTAAAGTGTTTTTTAAGTAGGCCTGGCTTAATCATTAAATATGCTTCAATTTTCTCACTGCTAAATTTGACTGATTAGGACATCATTGCTTGTCATGGTTGATAGATCGCTATAACCTAGGAAAAATAACTGTCTGTGTATGGAACTCTTTCCAACATTTTCAGAGCAGTCTCATTGGGTTTGTGCACAGGGTGTCAAGTGTTGTCTGTGTATGGAATTGTCAAATGAGATTTGGAAATGCGAGTGAAAGGATTGAAATAAATTATTATTCAGAAGAACATTGTTCACAGAAGTGCGTAATGTAGATGTGCAGCTGTATGCATAAAATATGGTGACGACTTGTAAATATTATGCACGTGGGAAAGAGTTCAATACACGGACAACATTTGACACCCTGTGCACAAACATTATAAGACTGCTCTGAAAAATTCGACGTGTTTTCTAAGTAAATTCTTCATTTTTTTCACTGCTAAATTTGACTTTTTAGGACATATCATTGTTTTTCATGGTTTGTCGGTCACTATTGGGTAAGGGAAAAATAAGCGTTGTTTGTGTATGGAACTCTTTCCTGCACATGTACATGTATGACACATTTGTATGTGGCAATTATTTTGGAAAGTGATTTGCATTCGTTTTGTTAAATGAATGTACATGTATTTTAATTGATTTGTAATTTGTATAGATGTATATAAATCATTTTCAGATGTGATTAAAGGTTTATAATAAAGTGTCCTACATGTAATTGCGATGTAAGTTAAACTACATGTATAAAAAAGGTTCTGACAACATCATTGTTGTGAAAGTTTGAAATAGGTTTTGTTTTGTTAGGGTCATAGTACATGTATATGTATACATGTATCTATAAAGGCTTTCATATGATATTGGTAGTTCATATTACAATGTTCAGTGACATGTGGATGAATGGTCGTTATGTATGAATCTGGTTTCACTTTAATCTGCACTGCCCAAACTGGGTGCTGAGAAGGGCAAGTTTCTTCTGGCAGTACATGCATGATAATTTTTTTAAGTCTCGTCGGACAGAATTTGTTTAAATCGTAAAAGGTGTCAAGCATTCTGCATGCATGATGACATGTGGACTCAGAATGTGCTTGCATCGGATAAGACAGCTAGTTCTTCATAATGCTTTATGTACCGTAACATGTACTTTCTGTAATAATGAAATTCTCGGAAGGAGATTATCTCTTCCCTACTCCCTGTTTGGGTGATATACGTGCATGAGCAGAGAACATGGGGCATTCAGGCTACACATTTCATGTATAATGTACTGCACCAAGTACATTATGTACATGTAGGCCTCGTCGTTTAAGAGCAAAACACTGTATTAGTTGGTTGTGGGTGGGAGGGTGTTGATACCTGTACTTTTTTGGAGAAGACTCAGTTTGATCTGGGATTGCCTTATGAATATCGATGTTTATGGGTAATAATGATGGGGAAACTATTATCGTGACAAATTCTTTAGCAGTATAATTTCGTTAGAGGTGTGTCTTGGTGATATGTACAGTCCTCTCCCGTTAAAACAAACTCTGTCTGACATTGTGATCATCATTAAAAAGCTTTGGTCCCATCCATACAGCTATGTGCTGGTGCACAATGAATTTCAGTGATTGATGTTCAAGTTATTAATACAAATGTAAAATTTTATTGGTAGATTAATCAGACTTTGTATTAACGGGAGTATACTGTAATGTTTATTTTTTGTTGTTTGAATGTGTATTTTTTATTTTGTGTGCATTACAGAAGATGCCAAGCTACGTGGTCCATACCGAGGCAACGTTGGATGCCAAGAGATGTACATGTACGTATCATTCCTCTGCCCGGAGAAAAGCACTTTCTCAGGGAAGTCTGCTTGCCAGGCCTACGAACCAAGGCTTGGCCCAGGCGAACATAAAGCCCTGTCCTAAAGAAACTGGACATGGGAATGCTCTGGGGTTGGCACCTCCCCGGAGAAGTCTGTCTCTAAGGCCATCTGAAGATGGTCTGGAGCAGGCGTGGCCGATGACCGAGTCATCACATGAGAGTGATGGCAATGATGGCCGTTGGCTTTCAGAGAGAAAAGATGCACAGATACCTCATGCTCAGATACCTCAGATACCTCATGCTCAAATACTTGACGCTCCTGAAACGTACGCTCCTGAAACTTATGCTCCTGATACGTACCCTCCTGAAACTTGCACTCATGAAAGTTTTCCCCCCGAAACATGCACTCCTGAAACGTGCAGTTCTGAAATTTCTACTCCTGAAACTTCTAGTCATGAAAGTTCATGTCATGGAAACTCTTATACAGACAGAAGTTATGACCATAGTTATTGTGCATATGATCTTTCACAGAGAGGAAATGATGTTGAGCTGAAGAAGCAGAGAATGCGGAAGAACACAGGAAGTATTCTGAAAGCAGTGAGAAGGTTGAAGGTTAGTGGACTGACATGTTGTAGCAGACATCAGGTATTGGAGTGTGTTGTAGAGTATCATAGAGAGGAAAGAAAGGTTTCAAAACCAAACAGGAAGAAAATCAGAAGACATGAACGAAGACAAGCATTCAATAGGTTGAGGAATGGCAAGGTCATTGAATTACGTATGAGTAAGGAAGAGAGAAAGAGCCATGAAAGAGCACAGAAGAATATTCAGAGACATACAAGGAGAAGTCTGACATATGTCATCAAGAAGATGCACAATAAGAAAGAACTATGCAAAGACAAGAAATCAAGCAAAAATGAGCACGAAGAGCAGGTTTCATTCAAGAACAGGAGTAAATTTTCAAATGGAGTAAGACAGAATGGTACAAGCAAGAGGTTGAGCAAGAGGTGTCGTGTTGAGAAGAGAAAGATTAAGAAAATGAACCATAGCTTGAAGGAAACAGAGCCTGTGCAGTGTTGGTTATGTGATCAAGTAACTAATACAGTTGAACAAGTTGTGGAATGTGATACCTGCAGTATCTGCTATCATATGAGTTGTATGGGATTTGCAAATATGGAATCTGTGCTAGCAAGCAAATCAGTATCATGGCTGTGTCTAAAATGTGGAAGATGTACTTACAGTGACTCTTGGTTGTATGATCTTGGCATTCCGACAGATGAGAACAAATTTGAGATACCATCATCTGAAGTGTACATGGAGGAAGCATCTGTTGAGTCATGCAGTGAAGGTGTTCCTTGCACAGAAGATTACATTCAAGTTTCAACAGTGAATGGAAACGAAGGTGAGAAACAAACAGGTACTGGCAAAATCAAGCATGTAATAGCCTGCAGAGATACATGTTTAAATACAGTTGAAAGACAATGCATACATGTAGTTAGGCAGACTGGAGGTTATTCATTGCGGAGCAAGAAGAGTACCAATGTTGAGAGTAGTTCTAGTAGTGGAAAGAAAAAGAAAGAGGAAAGTAAAAACAAAGCAAAGACAACAAGAGGTCAGTCTGCTAAGAAAGATGGAGAGCATAATGACACAAGTATAAATGAAGCAGTCTCAGAAAGAAAACCTATTACTAGATACAGTCTTCGAAACAGGAAAGAGCAAGTGTTGGTAGAAAATGAAAAGGAGAGTGTTGAGAATATGAAATCCAAAAGAAAAGCTGGAGATGGTGTGGAAGATTTTGGAAAAGGTACTGAGAGGAAAAAGCCCCGAGTCATTCCACAGAGAGGTAAATCACCGGAAAAGCATAAATCTAATGATGAAACCAAAATATGGAGTTGTTCTAAAAACAGTTGCAAAGACAATGACAACATAAATGAGACTAAAGAGATGAGATGTATTCAAGGTACTTTCCATCAAGGTGATCTCAGATTTGCAGAACTGGCTGGAAGACAATGTGTTTGTATGAGCCTGTGTGGAATCCTCTTTAGCCGAATTAAGCTGTTGAATACGTGGAGTTGCAAAGACATGGATTTTGTGTTGAACACTGGCAATGAATTGTACAGTTGTTTGTCTCGAAGCTCTACAATGAGAAATGAATATTTGTTAATCAGTGAGTTGCCTGATAAGATTGATGCGTTTGGTAAATGTTTTCACATGAAGATTGCTGAATCTGTTTCTGGCACTTTTGCAGAAGAAGGACATCTGACTGAGTTCAATATGATTCCATTGAGTAGGGCAGTAGAGCAGACAATTCAGAAATACTGTGCCTGTTTTATCTGTTTCAAAGGGAACACATTTTCAGTAATTGCTCAAGATGGAATGTATTATATTTTTGATTCACATTCTAGAAATCAGTATGGACATCAGGACAGTGAAGGAAGAAGTTTGGTCAAATGTGTATCATCATGGCAAGGTGTGTACAGGTATTGTACTGAACTTGGACAATCTATGAATGTCAGTGGTCATGAACAGTTTGAAATTACAGGTGTTACTGTCTGGGTAGATGATGATCTCAGTATCTGTGGTTGTGATGAGACTCTCAATGGTAGCTCCAGTAGTATGACACAGATAAAGAAACACAGTGAACATGACATAGAAATCATACAAGCTAATCAACCTGACAATCTAAAATTTGTTCCCTTGTCTTATGACCATAAGATTGCACTGTGTGAGAAATTAGGTGTGACAAAAATGTGTGTATATGGTCATGAAATTCCTGTGAAATGTGAGAAGTTGACAAAACCTGATGCTATAAAGAAAATTCAAGGTGATGGTAACTGTTTCTACAGAGCTATTTCATATGCTATTTCAGGAACTGAAAATAATCACATGCAACTCAGAATGGCAATTGTTAATCACTTGTTGGAAAATGCTGCTCAGTTTAGGTGCTATTTACGTGAAGGTTACAGGACAATTCAAGAGTATGTCACAAATGCAAGACTGTATAACAATGGAACATGGGCTACCGAGGTAGAAATCATTGTAACAGCACACATGTTGGATGTCGGTATTTACACATATGATGATGCCAATAAGTGGTATTTATTTTCAAATAGATATACATGCACAGATAGTAGAAGTGACAATTCAGAGATGTCAGGAATTTATTTGCACCACAAGAATCAGGTACATTATGATTTAGTGACAAGTGTACATGAGTTCAGAAGAAAGGTACAACACAACATTCAGGAGCACGATGACAATACATCAGAAACACAAGTGTTGAAAAGATCAAAGAGACGTAAACGTGTTAATGTAAGGAAGAGGCAAAAAACTAACCGAGACCAGCAAAGGGAAAGATATCAGAGAAAGAAAGATAAACAAAATAAAAACAATGCTGTAAGTGTCAAAGCGAAGAAAAATTGTGCAAAGAAAGAAAAATATCATAGTTGTGTGGTATACAGGCAAGGTGCTATTGAGTATGGCAAAAAGAGATACAAAGAAAATGCGGCAAATATCACTGGAGTTATGAGGAAACGATACCATGAGAATGCTGATTATAGGAGTAAAAAAATTGGCTGTGAAAAATTGAAATATGACAGAGATGCAGAACATAGGCAAACGAAGAAAAAAAGTGTGAAAATATACTGTAAGAGAAAATACCATTGTGATTTATCATATAAATATGCTCGTATCAAATCTATGAAAAAGAAGTATCATAGTGATTTGTCATATAGAAATGCTCTTATTAAATCTATGAAAAAGAAGTACCATGGTGATTTATCATATAAAAATGCTCTAATTAAATCGATTAAAAAGAAGTATTCTTTGAACAAATTATATAGGATGAAATTGATACATTTTCAGAAAGCAAAGTACCACAGTGATCAGTGTTATCGTCAAAATATGAAGCAAAGGAATGCTGAACGAGAAATAAGAAAGAGAGCAAGTCAATGTATTATGAGCAATGTAATGAGAAATTGGAGGCAAGATGTGTCATCAGGACCTGAATATATTTGTGCAGTTTGTCATAAAATCCTTTTTCGAAAGCAGGTTGTAAAGTGTAATCAAAATAAATACAAAAGTGACAATTGCATATCTCAAGAATATCTGCATAAGTGTGCCAACAATGAAAATTGTGGTGATAAGTGTCGTGTGGCAGAATCAAGTAGATCAAGTTTGTGGATTTGCTATACATGTCACAGGAAGTTGCTTCAGAACAGGATCCCAGCAGAAGCTTGTGCAAACAATTTGGCGTTGGAAGATATCCCAGAGGAATTGAGTTGTTTAAATATATTAGAGGAGCATCTGATTGCAATTAATGTGGCATTTATGAAGATGATGGCTTTACCCAGAGGTGGTCAGAATGCAGTGCATGGCCCAGTTGTTTGTGTACCTTCAAATATTTCGGAAACTGTAACAGCATTGCCTAGATGTTCTAATAATAATGAGTTAATCAGGGTTAAGTTGAAGAGAAAATTGTCATTCAAAGGATATTACCAGTACCAATTTGTAAGTAGAGAACATGTTGAACGTGCACTACAGTATCTTAAGGAGCATAATGTGTGGTACAAGGACATTGAGATAAACTGTGATTGGGACAATCCCCTGGAAGATGAAAGTGATAGCCAAGAAGAGCATGAATCTGATAATTCAAGTGAGAGTGATGAAGACACAGATGTAGACACAGATGAAGAACGTTTGACAGGTATTGTTTACGATACATGTTTGCAGCCAGTGAACATTGCTCAAGATGCTTTGGATCAATATTTTGATGATGTCATGTGTGTTGCACCTTGTGAAGGAAATAGCCCAGTCAGAGTTTTAATGGAAGAAGGTAATGAGGCGAAATGTTTTCCAGCGTTATTTCCAACAGGCACCCCTATTTTTAGTGATGATCGTGATGTGAAGTTAAGTCTCTGCAGATATTTTCATAACAGGTTAATGAATGCAAATAATAGATTTGCAAAGTGTACTCAGTATATCTTCTATGCTCAATACCTGTCAGAAATACAGCAAGTAATGTCACAAGTATCAATTGCAATGCGTCAGAGTTCAGGCAGTATACACAGTGCTGAAAGTGTAAATGCTAGCATGATTAATGATAGAGATCAACTGAGAGATATTTTACAGTCTGATAGTGGTTATAGGTTCTTGAAACCAATCAGAGGTACACCCCCATACTGGCAAGCAGCTCAGAAAGATGTCATGGCTATGATTAGACAACTTGGAATTCCAACATGGTTTTGCTCATTTTCAGCAGCTGATATGAGATGGCCTGAAATCATAAACACGATATTGAGACAACAGGGTGATTCTAGAGATGTTGAGGATTTGGATTGGAATGAGAAATGTAAAATATTGCGAAGTAATCCTGTGACTGCAGCTAGAATGTTTGACAAGAGATTCCATTCATTCTTGAAAGATGTTATTTTGTCCAGAGCTCAGCCTATTGGCAAAGTGAAGGATTATTTTTATAGAGTTGAATTTCAGCAAAGAGGAAGTCCACATACCCACTGTTTATTTTGGATTGAGAATGCTCCAAAATTGGGATGTGATAATGATGAAGAGGTTATTAAATTCATTGATTCATATATCAGCTGCAAATTGCCATCCAAGGATGAGGATTCAGAGCTGAATGACATAGTGAGTCACGTGCAGCTACATAGCAAGAAGCATTCTAAGTCATGTAAAAAAAAAGGAACTGAGTGTAGATTTAATTTTCCAAGACCACCATCCAGTAGAACCTTCATTACTGAGCCAGATCCCATGGATGATGATGATGACCGTGATGATATTCGTATTGATGATAATCATACTGATGGTGATGATGATAATTATACTGATGGTGATGATGATAACGATGAGTGTGGAGTGGATGAAAGTGATGATGGTGATGATAATCACAGAAATCAGCAATGTGATAGCAAGAAGCATAGTGATGCCAAGGAATTATTGAAGTCAGTTTGGGATGCAATACAGAATGAGGAAAACCAGAATTTGTCAACTGTACAGTTATTTGAAAGAATGAATATTACACAGGATGCTTTTGAAAAGGCTAACAATACATTGAGTCACAAACCTACAATTGTCATAAAAAGAGAACCACAAGATGTATGGGTAAATTTGTACAATCCTGCTTTGATTAGATGTTGGAATGCTAACATGGATATCCAGTATATCACCGATGCATATGCCTGTGCAGCTTATGTTGTGTCATATATGTCTAAATCAGAACGTGAAATGGGACAGTTATTAGCAAATACACAGAAAGAAGCTTTGAAGGGTAATTTGGATGCTAGGCAAAGTATGAAGGAACTTGGTTCTGTGTATCTGCATAATCGTGAAGTATCTGCCCAAGAAGCAGTGTTTCGAGTATGTGGTCTTCGATTGAAAGAAGGTTCAAGGAAAGTCGAGTTTATACCTGTTGGTGAAAATCCAGTCAGAATGAGCTTGCCGTTAAGTGTAATTCAGAATAGATCTGAAGATGATGACAGTGACATATTCATGGCTAATAGAGTTGATCGCTATAAAGCAAGACCAGATCTTCATAAATTTAATGACATGTGCCTTGCAAAATTTTGCTCAGAATACAGGGTAATATATAATGCAAACACTAACAAGAAAACTAAATCACCAGTGTATGAACTTAAAGATGGTTTGGGTCATGTACAGAGGCGTAGTAAAACTGAACCTGCAGTCATAAGATACCCCCGATTTTCAGAGAATAAATATCCTGAGAAGTATTACCACAGTATATTGCAGCTGTTTCTTCCATATTGTGTAGATGCACATTTGAAACCACCTAAGTTTGAAACATTTGAACAATTCTATAAAAATGGTGCTGTATGTCTACATGATAAACTGAAATCTGTGAGGTGCATTGTTGAAAGTAACCGCTCCATATATGAAGCAAATGTTGAGTCTCTTGAAGCAGCAGAACAGTATGTGAAGAAATTTGGTCTTCAAGAAGATGCTTGGGCTTTGATTTGTCCTAAGTCTGAGCAAGAGAGACTTGAATGTGAAGCAGAACGTGAAGAAGTAATAGGAGAAGAGAATGGTTTTGATATCCCTGATTTGCAAGCTGATGAAACAGTAGGAAAAAAATGTAGTATTGAACCACATCCAGCAAAAATATCAAAGCAAGAAGCACTCAATTTATTAAGATCATTGAACGAACAGCAGAGACAAGTGTTTAATAAGATTCGTAACTGGTGCTTGAAGAAGATCAATGGGAAAAATCCTGAACCATTTCATGTATTTGTGACCGGTGGAGCTGGAACTGGGAAAAGCCACTTGATAAAGTCAGTTCACTATGAAGCAACAAGACTTTTTGCTAGAATGGTTCAAAACCCTGAAAACATGTCAGTATTGATAGTTGCGCCTACAGGAGTTGCTGCATTTAATGTCAATGGTAGTACAATTCACAGTGCTCTTTCAATCCCTGTTGATGCTAGATTACCATATCAACCACTTGGAGAAGAGAAATTGAATACGCTGAGGAATGTGTTACAAGATCTTCAAATTTTGATTATTGATGAAATATCGATGGTTGATCACAAGATTTTGTGCTATATACATGGACGTTTGCGTCAGATGAAACAAACACGTAGTCATAATCATTTCGGTAACATCAGTATTTTAGCTGTTGGAGATTTTTATCAGCTACCTCCAGTCAAAGGAAAAGCATTGTATCAGAGAGCACTCCCAGTAGATCTATGGAATGATATTTTCCAGAAAGTAGAACTTAATGAAATAATGCGACAAAAAGATGATGTAGAGTTTGCAAAAGCACTGAATAGATTACGAGTAAAAACTAAGAAGGAAAAGTTATCAGAAGAAGATGTAACATTGTTGAAGTCCTGTGAAACTGGAGAAGATTGGAATGATGCATTACATATCTACCCATGTAACAAACAAGTGGATGAATACAATACGCAAACACTCTTTGCAACGTGTATTGATTGTATATGTATTGTTGCTAAGGATTTACAGAAAGATGCTAGTAAAGGTAATCGAAAAGGAAGGGTAAAAGTTCCTAAGAAATCAACATACACAAGCTTGCCTGAATCATTGTGGTTAGGTGTTGGTGCTAGAGTTATGTTAACTAAGAATATTGATGTATCAGATGGACTTGTGAATGGAGTGTTTGGCACTGTACGTGAAATTATTATGTTGCCAGATAAATCTTGGCCAAAGTGCATTGAAGTTCAGTTTGATAATAAGGATGTTGGATTGAAGTTAAAAAGAAAATACAAATCGTCAAATAAAGAAGACACAGTTCCAATTCAAAAGGAAGAAGAAAATGTCAGTAAGCAATGTGTTCGACAGCAGTTTCCCTTAAAATTAGCCTGGGCATGCACAGTTCACAAAGTGCAAGGAATGACAACAGATAGAGCAGTTGTTTGCCTTGAACACACATTTTCAGCTGGACAAGCTTATGTTGCACTGAGCAGAGTCACATCAATGCATGGACTTGTGATTCAAGGATTTGATGAAAAATATATCTACTGTAACAAGGCAATTTCGGAATCATTGAAAAGTATGCCAGAATTTACTGATGCTGAAGAATGTGCAAGGGAAGTGAAATCTGAAAAGACTGTTATCATGATGCATAACATTCAAGGATTAAAGGAACATCATATGGACCTAAAATGTAATAATGAAATGATGAAATCTGATTTCATCTGTCTTACTGAGACATGGATCGATAATGAGGAATACTCTGATGTAGAATTGAGTGATTTCAAATGCTATCATCAGATCAGAAGTGCGTCATATGATAATTCAAGTACAGTTACACAAATGTTGAAGCAGCAATGTCGTGGAGGTGTAGCAGTATTTGGTAGAAGGAACAGCACATTTAGCAGACTGACTCTTCCTGTTCAGAATCTAGAGCATATTGCATTTCAGGTAATAAGTAAGACGTCATACTGTGTGGCAGTAATTTATCGTCCGGCTTCATATTCAATGGATGAATTTCTTGGCTATCTTAAAATTTTGCTGAGTGAACTTCATAAAGTGTCTTATAGGTGCATTGTAATGGGTGATTTTAATGAAGACATTCTGAAACACTGTTCACGGATTGAAAAGTTAATGCAAAATTATGGTTATAGACAGTGTGTTCATGATGAAACTACAGAAAATGGCACATTGATTGACCACGTATACGTCAGAAATATGGATACGGTAGATGCTGCAGTGATTCCAACATACTACAGCTATCATGAAGCAGTTTCCATAAGAATATAATTTGAATACTTTTATTGAGGACATTCTGAAACCTACATGTACATGTACATGTACATGTATAACATTGAAACTGTCAATGTGAAGTATAGTGGTGTACACGTACATTGTATTTCACAGTTCCATAATGTTGGGATCATTTTGGACATTATAGAAGTAAGGATCAAGTGAATATTTATTCTTGTAAAATGTATGAATCTGTTTGATCATGATTAACCCGAACTGTGAAGGCCCTTTCAAAAAAAGCTTGGTTGTATCCTCAAATTGTTCAAAATATTCTAATTGCCACAGTGTACAAATTGAATACAGCCTCAATCTGCCTAAATAATTTTTTTGTTAATGACATTTGTTCCTGGAGGGATGATCACTGGCTAAATATCCTTCATTTGTATGCATAAAGGTATTTGTATTAAATGTAATTCTGTTAAATGATGTTGTTTTAATGTAAAGCTGATCTTTGAAGCAAACATACAATTGATGTGCAATATCAGTGCTAATGTGAACTAGTCATGAAATTACGATGGATGTTTTTTTGTAGATCATGTTCATTTCTCAAGTTGTGTACTCAAGAGACGTACATTATGTGCAAGATGGAATTATGTCATTCATGGTAAGTAAACAATTGCATCATCTATTTTGCTGAGGTCATAGTAGAAGTCTAAGAGAACATAGAGACCAGATTAGTTGAGCCTAGCTACTCAGTGGTCTGAGCTTCAGAAGTGCTATAGGTAAACATCGCGGTGAACATTCCTTTAAGAATAAACAAATCCTTAAAAAGAATTGAGAATATCGGACTCCTTGTGACGAGGAGATCTGCATGTGACGCACATTTGCTCACATCTGATCTCCATTGACGAAACAATTCAGCTACACATACTTGGGGTATGTACCGGTAATCTTCTCTGATGTTAAGATTGACGTACTGGTAGATGTGGACAAACAGTGGATTTGGCAGACTCCCCACAGATGTCTGGAAGAACTACCTCAAAAATGACACCAAAAACAGCTTCCTGTTGTGCAGTGCCGAGTCCTGGGTGACCACCCATTGGTGGCTGCTGCTCCTCGAGTGTTTCCATCAGTGTTGCCTCTATACCATTCATTGGAGTGACCTTGTCAGCAGTATTGAAGTCTGTGGGGCAACCGATGTTACCAGCATTGAGGCCATGCTCCTAAACATGAAGCTGCATTGAGGAGGATATCTAGCATGGAGAATCATGGTCTGCAAAAGATTGTTGAGTTCAGGGAACTGTTTAGGAGCCATCGCGACTGAGGAGCACCATGGAAGAGGTACCGGTACACAGACACCTTGAAAAAGTCCTCGACCACTTTCCACGTTGGCCGCTAGTAGTGTGTAATGCAAGCTGCTGATTCTGTAAGATAAGGAGACATGGTCAACCAGGGCACCTCCTTGGAGGGCAATTGAAGGTCCAGCATGTCAATACATGGTGGATGTGACTTCCAAAAGAGTGAACTTGTGTAATTTTGTAAACATTTTTGAGCGCTTGGCCAGATTACAGTGTGGCCCACAACTCTGCTCTCCAAAAGCATCACTTTACCTGCCAGTATTTGAACATGGTTCAGGTGAGTGAGATTGTCAGTTTTCCTGTTGGTTTTTTTTTGGGGGGGGGCGGGGAGGGCGGAGGGGGGTTGGTTGGTGGTGTTCAACTGTTCCTCAACTTGACACTTGCTGGTTTGTGTTTGGTTTGTGTGAGTACTGGAGCTAGTAGATCCTCGCACATGTCATTCTCTTGTATCCACTTTCTGTAGAAGTCATCAACTACAAATCCACATGTTTTCTGCCAGTTGCCTGTGTGCTTTCCAACAGCATCACTCTGTATGCCAGTATTTGAACATGGTTCAGGTGAGTGAGATTGTCAGATTTTCTGGTTTTTCGAGGGTTTTATCAGTGGTGTTCAAGTGTTCTTCAAAATGAAACTTGCTTGTTTGTGTTTGGTTTGTGTGAGTACTGGAGCTAGTAGATCCTCACACATGTCATTCTCTTGTATCCACTTTCTGTAGAAGTCATCAACTACAAATCCACATGTTTCCTGCCAGTTGCCAGTGTGCTCTCCAACAGCATCACTCTATATGCCAGTATTTGAACATGGTTCAGGTGAGTGAGATTTATCATGAAACTTCATTTCCATTACCATTATTGAAGCAAATAATTCGAAAAGTACCTTATTGGGACTTGATGAATCACAAAGGTTGTATCAGGACCGTCCAACAATCACGTGGACGTTGCTGAGGCGCTCATGTGACCTGTCACATTGTCATACTTGGTCAAACAACAGTCAGCAGTTTTACACGTGGGCTAGCTTGTATCCTCCATCTCTGTTCATCTGATGGCAGTGCATGTGGATTTTGACCGCTGCACATATTTTGAATTTCTAGAGTTGGTCCTTCCTGGCGATGATCTTAACATTGTCCACGTATATGTTGTCTCAAGTCAGATCTTAAATATTTGTGAATGATTTTCTAAAACCTACTCTATTTTCAAACTTTAGACAATGTTCAGACTTTGCTCATAGAAATACACGCGGACAGGTGCATTCTGACATATTTAGCTCAAATTTGAGGTGAAGGGCAACTAATGCAGAATATGCTATTGATGATTTGAATTGTCCTCAAATGAGGCACTTGGAAGGGCATCTACATATCTGCAAATAGTGTACCTTGAATGCAACTGATGGCTTAAAATTGAGTGTGTCCACAAATTTTTTAGCATTTTGCAAAAGTAAAGCCAGGTGGCAAAATTGTACGAGACATAATTTTGTACAAGTGTTGTTTCTTATAAACCACTTCCTATTTTATTGTATTCAGGGAAATATGCTGACTCTGTAGCAGATAAAATGAAGTGGTGCCAGCCTTTCTGCTATCGCTCTGTTAGCAACATCCAGCCTTATGTCATACAAGATGAAGTTACTCTGTAATTCTACGCTCTCAGCCACTATTGCGAGGCCTAATTGTCATATGGTTTAACCTAACAACCTTTGTGTATGCTGGGACCTCCAAGAAGCGTGAAATGTACATAGACACTCTTTCTACGAATCTATGTTTAAAGCAACACTGAGTGATCACAAATGTATCACTAAATACAGTGCTTTGGAGAAAAAGTGAGTCTGGAATCATGCACTGAAAGAGCTTGTTGCCTGCATGAGATGAATGACTGCAAGTGACATGCATGTTTAGGTTAAATCCATTATTTGGTACCTGATTGGTAAAACTGTTATCTTTCAGTTCCTCAACTACGGTGCAGAAAGCAACTAAAAGATATCAGAGTTATGGAACATAATCATGTTGAATTTGTATAAATACAAATTCAACATGATTATCGTAAATTTACGATAATACAAGTACGTGTTACGTGTAAAATACCACTGGCAGTGTACAACTGTACATCTATGTTTGTATGACCACGTTTAGTTTTAGTTCGATTGTTAAAATGGGGAGGGGGGGGGCTTTGTGTACTTAGATAATTTCTTGTGGCATGCCGTTTCTAAAAATCTGAAGGTTTTTCTGCATTCTAGAGTTTGTTTTGGGGAACAGTTTTCCCTCTTCAATATTTTAGCTGTCGATGTGTAGTCTTCATGTTATCCATCAAAACACTTTATAAAGGCTCAGTAATGTTTATCAGGGACAGTTTCTATGCACTTATATTACTTTTAGATGAAATTTGTCTTTTCCAGCGTTTTTTAAATGTGTTAAGAAATTAGCTATATTGTCAATTGTTAAGGACTTTGACATCTATCAAGTATCATGTAGACATTTTAATCTTGGTCAATTATATTTAAAGCCATTGTCACATATATGCCCTTTCCAATGTAGCAACCAACAAGCCGTCAGCCAAGCATGTTCAAAAATAAAATACTTGACAAAGACAAAGTTCAATTTGATTTTTATTTGGGGGGGGGGGGGTTGGAGTGTTGTGAGTGTTATGCATGCTAGTAGAGATGGGCTGACTGTTAAGCAAGTAAATATACACAAGCTTTACTTATATTGTGAGTAATCCTTTACATTTCCAAAAGAATCGACAATTGCAAAGGATATCAGATATGGTAAGGATAAGTAGGACTCTCAACATCAGCCTTGCAATTTATAGTCCATGCTCTTTTCTCAGGGACAGATTGTATGCACTTATCTTAATTTTAGATGAAATTTGTCTTTTCCACCGTTTTTTAAGTGTTAAGAAATAGCTATATTGTCATTGTCGAGCAGTTTGATAGTACATGTTCAAAAAAGTGACAACATCTATCATGTAGACATTTTAATTATTGGTATTTTGGTCAATTGTATTTAAAGCCATTATCACATATATGCCTTGTAGCTCCCAACAAGTCATCAACCAAGCCCGTTTTTCAATAAACTACTTTACAAAGAATAAGTCAAATTTGACTTGCATTTTTGTCGAAGTCAATGTTCCTTTTTTTGGGGGGGGGGGCGGTTGGAGTGTAATGAGACTAATCATCTGAGTACGCACTCATTTGAATAAATAATATGATGGTATGAAGTTTCAATAACATGTTACTGCAGTCATTTTGTTAAACAAAAAACACTTTGTGCAACAGGTTTGACATTTGTTTTTCCGCATTATGTTTTTTTTAGTTGAAGCAAGGTCTTTATGTTTGAATGCATTACCATTATTTTATGCGCTGTTGTTGTTTTTGTTATTTAGATTTAGGACTTGAAGAATGTACACCGTTATTAAGATGATGCACTGGGACCCATTATGACATCATCATGGCTTCTGTATGTGCGTATGTACAACGTACGTGCGTATGTACATGTACATTCTGTGCATGTTTTAAACCAGAGGTATTGTCAACCTAAAGTTTCAAGCGTGCGCAGGGCATGTTCGAGTTTGCTTATTGCCTCGAAGCTTTGAAATGTTTTTGACCTACCTTTAGATCGACAAATAAAGTAAAAACTAATATAAAAACTGCCATGGTTGATTTTTCAGGAATTTTCAAAGGAAAAAGGGTCTTTTCATTATAACTTCCGGTCTGATGACGTCATACGCCTAAAACTTCGCACACGTTTTAAGTGGGTCAAGATCATCATATACACCAATATTTAGGCGATTACGACAAACTTCGCCACAGACATCTATTCAAAACACATTTGTGAAAATTTTCAACCTGTCGCTAGAGGGCGCTCGAAGATTGCATGACGTCATTGGTAAATGATTTGAAAAATACTATTGGCCAAGAGACTAACACCGTTAAAAGCAAGTTCATATCTATTACCACTTTTAAATGATAAGCCACTTCCGGTTTTGGCCTTTTTCGACCGGAAGCAAGGGTCACGTGATTTCACGCACACTGAATGAAATAAAGACCTCAACCTACTCTACCACTTGCCGGCAACAGAATGCTGCGGACGCGTATGGTTGATTTCTTATGCATTTTTAAATATTAAAAGTGTCACAATTTAATTGCCTATCAATCAACATGGGATGACGTCATCATGACGTCATCATTCCACAATGTTGTTTGAATTAGGGTCTTTGCTTGGACAAAGATTGGTGTAAATGAATTACTGGCAAAGAGTCAAAAATGCCCTTTGAAAAGCGACAATTTTTTTTTAATTTCTGTGTACAAAGTCTATGGGAAAAATTTAATATTCAAAAATCTATAATAAATTAGTCGATGACGTCACCATGACGTCAATCTTCGGGACACATCTTTGCTATAGGGACTATGCTTATGCAAACTTTGAATGGTGTCTGACAAAGATTAATGCCAAAAGTGGCACTGAGAAAAAACGTGCACAAAGTCTATGGGGTTTTGGCGACAAAAAGAAGAAGGAAAAAAAAAAAAATGAGAACAAAAACAAAGGCTTTTCCGCACTATGCGGAAAAGCCAAAAAAAAGAAAAAGGAAAAAAAAAAACTTTAACGAAAACAATAGCTGTTCCCAATTGAAATTGGGAACAGCTAAAAAAACTAGAGCTATATCTGTTCGATGAACAGAACATAGGGCTTTTCCGTAGTTTGTTTATGAATAAATATGTTGTATAATTGACGTGAGTTGAATTGCATGTATAATATATGAGATCATAGGTGTGACAGGTGACCCTAAAAGAAGAAGATGATTGCACTGACGAGGATCGATGTTGTTGTAAACTGCCTTTTTGCCTTTGTATTGTAGAAATAAGTAGGGGTGTGCTCACAAGTGTGTGACAAGTAAGGCTTGAGATGTGTGTGTGTGGTTGAATTTGTTATGAACATAAAGTAGAAAAATACCAAAATGGTGAAATAACTATGTAAAGAAATGTAGCTGCATATGTTTATTACATATGAAGTGATAATGAAGTGGACTGATTTGATATCCAAAAAATATAAGATTGCGTCTATTGTTTTTTTGTTTTGGTAAATACGTATATGGGATGTCGTCTTATTGGTATCTTTAATATTGTGACCAAAATCGCTCTGCCTTTGTGAAATGTTTGGACACATATTATTCAGCCAGGTTCACTCTAGGCTTTAAAAATGATCGTGTGAGAAATTGTTCTTTTATTCAATCCACATTTTTTTTCCTAGTATTAGTTTCACTTACCAATTGTTCACATGGAAATAGGGCACGTGTTATGATGAATGAAGAATTTCTAGAAAGCCTAATTATCTTACAATGGTGACTAATTTCCCGAGAGTTAGTATTTCTTACAGATTTTAGCGACAGGGGTTTTATATAACGCAACTGGTTAATGGCAGAAGTGTGTGTTTACAACAGGCATTGTGTAGTAGTGTACGGAAATACTGTGCATTTTTCAATAGCAAACGCTGATCAGTGCGAGTGACTCATTTGCATATACGCTGCGCACGTTTAGCCAATTGTAGCGCGTGGGCAGTTCGTGGCCTAGTTTTTGACGGCCAGAACTTTATAAAAGGCGAGCGTCACCAGCATTTGGGTGGCTAGGTTTGAAGTTTATATCGTTAGTAAGCGTTCAAGTGCTGTGAACTTAGTCATCATTCAAGTGCCGTGAAGAACTTATAGTCAGCATTCAAGTGCTGTGAAAATTTAGTCAGCATAAAGAGCTGTGAAGAATTTAGTCAGCATTCAAGTGTTGTGAAGAATTTAGTCAGCATTCAAAGTGCTGTGAAGAAATAGTCAGCATCCAAGTGCTGTGAAGATTTAGCTAGCATTCAAATTTCGAGTGCTGTGATTGTTGAATTTATTCAGTATTAATTGTTAGCAGACAGCTTACAAGGCATTGCCTCCGAGGTAGCCGAACGTGCAAAGCAAAGTACGCGCATAATTTATTTTGCAGACCGCACATAGTGGCGGTGTCTTGCTAAAGAGTCACTTTAATTAAACAGCCAATGCAGTAACAGATATATTAAAGAGGTTGTGGAATGCTCGAAGACATTTCTGTCATTTTTCGGGTATATGTAGCCCAAGGTGTGATGAAATAAAAACGACTATTGTTTCTGTCATAAAATGAGTACAAAAGGTACTTTTGAGAGCTGTTTTTCAAGTCCTGTTATGCCTGTTTCGACCCGAACGTGCAATTTGTGTAAAAGTCGTCGTTGCGGGCAGCAAACAAAACACAGTAAATCGTGACGTAATAAACAGGACTCCCGATGCAGAGTAGCATGTACGAGTCCTGTCTATTACGTCACGATTTACTGTGTTTTGTTTGCTGCCCGCAACGACGATTTTTACACAAATTGCACGTTCGGGTCGAAACAGGACCTGAAAAACAGCTCTCAACAGTACCTTTTGTACTCATTTCATGACAGAAACAATAGTCGTTTTTATTTCATCACACCTTAGGCTACATATACCCAAAAAATGACGGAAATGTTTTCGAGCATTCCACAACGTCTTTAAATGTTAATAATTCCCTTCATGTAAATAGAGTTGAATAAGCCGAGTTGACACTGTTAATAAATTATTTGTTGCGGATTGAGTTCTTGAATTCTAAAAGCTGTTTCCTCGAGTGAATTTCTTGTTTGTTTAATGCCTGCGCGTGCTGCGCATTAGTAGACTGAGTTTAATAATATGCCTCTTCTGATTGACGACTTTGGAGTCTTCCTGAGGAGCCTGGGCTGCCCCTACCCTTCCCCTCCCTGAGTCCACATTATAGTTAATAGTTCAGACTGGTTCAGAATTTCACGCCCTCATCCCCCTTCAAAATTCACGCCGTTTTCAGTCTGTTCCACTGGCTGCAGCGTCTGACCATCCAGGCTGTATTATATCTGGTGAAGTTCGTTCAGACACATTCGTTGTCAAGCTGTGAGTATTACACAGTAGGTATCATTCTCTGAACGGGCACCCCGTCCATCCACGCCCCGTTACAAAAACATGTTTGTCGTTCGGAAGAGAGATTGCCAACTAGTTAACCTTTGTTAACTTGGGTGCATACCTATGCTCCCCAATACTGATGTTCGTGGAAATCTCTACCATAATAACCCTAACCTTAACCCTAATCCAAGCCCTAATTAACCCTAACCTTAATCCTAAGGATTTCGGGTAATATTGTTTACATCGGTATTGGGGAACATCGGGTAGATCGCGTTAATTGTCATATGTTTTGTGTTGGGTATTTTTTCTTTTTCAAATTGATATAAAGAAATCCATTGGTGGTGGGGTTTATTGCGTGCATGATGGTTGTGTAAAATAAACATGCTGGAGAATGGGTAAGGAGGTGGACTGTGTCGTGGTAGATGGGAAGTGGTTTGTTATAATGATGTGAATTTTGGTGTTTTTTATAGTTAATTCATCTCTTGAATGAAGTCGGATATTGTCGTTGTAACATTGAAGTTGATTAATAATTTGTGGAAGGTGATTTGTTAAGATCCTGCACGTCATTTAGTGTGTGTTATAGACTCTGTCCCTGGTGAAAAGTGGCCCTGTGGAGGCTGTGGATAACTGGTGATACTCAAGACAACTCCTCCGTTGAAAGGAGAAGAAATCACTGAGACAAGCTATATTGAACTGATTGCAATTGGGGGCGCCATTCATTGTAGACGGTGCGGCGTTTATTTTTTTGTAACGCGCTGTCCTTATTTTGATCCCGTAAAAGTTTACGGTTTTGTGGTAGAAATATTGTTTATTGACCTGTCTTTGTGTTTTCAGTTATGGAATGGGAACAAAAGTGGAATAGTCATGGACAGAGCATCATTACAGACTTCTGTTAAAACGAAGATGTTAACGAAGGCCTGCATTAATTGGCAGTTATTGATGTTATACATCGTCAAAAAGAGGACTGAGGATGGTTATTGAGATCACCTATTATACACAATTAACTATTGTGTTTATTGAAATGTCAAAAAATATAAAAGTAATGCGACTGGGTGTATGTCAAAATCAAACTTAGGAAGTTCTGATTGGACTGATGTTGGATGAATCTTGACAGTACTGGCGCGGTTAGAGCGCCCTCTTGTGACTGAAGAAAATTTACGGGTATGACATCAGTCTAATTTGTAAACTTTTCTGAAGTACTTGCAACATAAGAATAGAATGCAGAAAACAGTGTGCGCACGCGAAGACTAGTAAGTTGTAACTTGTGGAGATATAGCGTACGGCCGTTAGGAAAAGTACAATGATTAAGATGATGTCCGATTAATATGCAAGACTACAAGGGGTGTTTGTTGGCGCAGAAAATGTTATGAAGAAAAAAATAATGGGAACTTGTGCGACGGACAATTGAATCTAGTAGGGGAGGGGATGTGGGTTAAAAGAAAAATGAAGGCACAGTATTGAGCATTTGTTCCCGTCAACAGGAATGGGTTTTTATTCAGTATTTGTGGCTGAGTAAGGACTGTGGCATATAACGTTTGATTTATGTAATTAAGCACACATTATTGAGATAATTATGATGCATATGTAACAAAAGCTAACTACCGAAATGCTTTATAGATGTAGACTTATGTTATTAAAAACACAAATTATTCAGAGATAATATATGTTGAGTTTTGTTGTGATTTTTAAATCAATGATAATGATTTGCAGTGATTATTTTGGACTGGGTATTATTTGAAGTTTAGTGTTTAGATAGAGTGCCACTCAACTGTTTCATTTACTGCTAAGCAAATGCATATATAGGGTGAGTCAAAAAAGGAGCAACCCAAATGTTGGGATGATGTGTGCGGCAGTTCTGCACATAGCTGTTATATGTAAATAGTGGGCCTGTAACTTTGGTGATAATGGTGAAGCAGAGAGGGTGAACCAAGTCAGCAAATTTGACAGCCATTGCATGAAGTTGAAACGTTGAAATTGCTGTGTTAAATGAGAAGTGTCCACAATACAAACTTTTTGCTATTTCTGCGGTTCCCAAGAACACCTAGCGAACGAGAGGGCATGTCGTGCCAGGAAAAAGAAATGAAATGTGTGTCACAAAGTTGGGCTTTCAAAATGTAGGACATGAAAGCCCAAAGTTCAGAATCTTTCTTTTAGTACAAGAATCATTCAGATCACTGATGTTCTTTTCACGCTACAGAATTTTAAACACAACTAATGTTTGAAAGTTCTGTCCATGGATGACAAAAAAGGTGGGTGTTGTTTCAGCAAGATGAAAACAATTCATAAACATATCTGTATGTGATCTGTTCATACATATTCATATACACATCTGTATGTGATCTGTTTTCGTTTTGCTGAAAGAAGTCTTATCTTCTTGTGATCCAAGGACAATGTTTTAAAATAGTGGTTGTGTTTAAAATTCTAGATTGTACTGTTTAAGAAATAGTAAAGTACCTAAGACGGTGATTTGAATGATTGTTGTAGTAATAAATGAAAGGTTATGGATTGGAGTCCTATGCTAGATTTTGACTGAATTAGGTAATTGTGTTACTGGAGTTAGGATTGGCTATATTCGTATGTGTTATCATGTACACTTTAATTTTTCGGGAGTTACATGGAACATCTTGTAAATAGTATATGGTTAACAATAGAGAACTGGGAAAGAGTTTAAATATGATGCAAACTAGCCCGACTGCATCTGGCCATACAGTACTATCGCAAGCTGTGTAGTATGGCCAGACAACCAATGCTCCCCTAAACGGTGAACTCTGATGTAGTGATTTTCGGCTACCAATTGTGAGATTATTTTCTCATCCAGGACAGAAATTTACAAAGTTGAGGTTCCTAATTGTAGAGTAACTTATACCTTTTCGAAAAAGACATTCTTTTATCTAAAAATCTTCATCCATCTGACCAAAAAATGACTTTGAATTATCATTTCCCATGAATATTGCCCCGAAAATGTTCCCTTATTCGATGTAAAAATGGTGGTCGCATTGTAATGTATGCATTATGTGTGCGCGCTTGAGCAAGATTATGAATATGCATTGTTCAGTTCATGACGTTGTTTTTATATGGACAGCTGCCCCGTGCGCCTGACAAACGTTATGAAACGAATGCATATTCATCATCTTGCCCAAGTGTACGTGCATAATGCATACAATACAACGCGGTCCCCATTTTGAAATTGCATGGAGGAACATTTTTGGGATGATATTCATGGGAGATGATGATTGAAAGATGTTTTTTGGTCAGATGGATGAAGATTTTTAGATAATCGCACGTTTTTTTCGAAAAGGTATGAGTTCCTCTACGACTAGGAACCTTAACTTTGAAAATTTGTGTCCTGGATGAGAAGATAATCTCCATCAAAATTGTTATGATAGTACTCTACGTCCAGATGGAGTCGGGCTAGATGCAAACGTAACAAAAGCTAACTACTGAAATGCTTAATAGATGTATGTAACAAAAAACACAAATTATTGAGAGAATTAGGGTTTTGATTAAAACATTGATCATGTGTACATGTATGAAATAATTATATGAGTCAAGATGTAAATTGCATGATTAAATATATGTTGAGTTTTTTTGTGATTTTTAAATCAATGATAATGATTTGCAGTGATTATTTTGGGCTTGGTATTATTTGAAGTTTAGTGTTCAGACAGAGTGTTAGGCCAAAACAAATAATAAGTCGGTCTCTGGTCAGCGCGCGCGTCAAATTTAATCATTTAGCTCCAACAGCGCCCTCTATTTTTGCACCTCCTCAATTTTTTTTTACCAAAGAGCACCAAGGAATGGGAAATAGCACCAAGGCAAATGATTGAAAGCACCAAGGCAAATTATGGAGGACACCAATGTACAGGAGGACACCAAAAAAGCAAAATAGTACCCACCTTGTCTGTACAATCCAAGCTTGAAGAAAAAAAAAAAAAAGGAAAAAAAAAAAAAAAAAAACCGCGGGGCTGCGTCAATTCCAGAACTTTGGTCTGACCAGAGACCGAATTTTTTTTTTTTTAGCGTTATTCAACTGTTTCATTTACTGCTGAGCAAATGCATGTATAGGGTGAGTCAAAAAAGCAGCAACCCAAATGTTGGGATGATTAGTGCAGTTCTGCACGTAGCTGTTATATGTAAATTGTGGGCCTGTAACTTTATTATATGGTTGGTGATAATGGTCAAGCAGAGAGGGTGAACCAAGTCAGCAAATTTGACAGCCATTGTATGAAGTTGAAAGCCCAATTAAGAATCCTTTTTTAGTACAAGAATCATTCAGATCACTCATGTTCTTTTCACGCTATGGAATTTTAAACACAACCAATGTTTGAAAATCCGTTCATGGATGACAAGAAAGGTGGGTGTTGTTTCAGCAAAATGAAAACAATTCATACACATTCCTATGTGATCTGTTTTTGTTTGGCTGAAAGAAGACTTACCTTCTTGTGATCTGAGAAAAATGTTTTAAAATGGTGGTTGTGTTTAAAATTCTAGATTGTAGTGTTTAAAAAGTAGTAAAGTACCTAAGTGATTTAAATGATTGTTGTACTAAATGAAAGGTTATGGATTGGGCTTGCATATGCTAGATTTTGAAAGTGCTACATGCAGAACCTAACTTAAAGATTAGTCACGACATTTGGGTATTGCTTTTTTGAATCACCCATGGAGTACGTAATTAAAAGCAATAATTATTTAGAAAATATTGGTTTGATTAAAACATTAATGTGGACATTTTTTAATAATCAAATGACTCAAGACTTTAGTTTTATGATTCAATAGATGGTGAATTTTGTTCTGATTTTTTAAACTATTTGCAGTGATCAGTTTTGATTGGAAGTTGACTCCTCAGGATGGCTGAGATTCCTCAGGATGGTTCAGCCTTTAATCTACTGCCAAGGTAGTCTTTGATGTGGAGGCTTCAGAGTCATCGGTGATGCTTTAAAATTAAAAAGAATAAAAATTGAATGAGCAGTGAAGTGAAGATTTAAATTTGAATATGTGATGTTAATTAAGTTAAGTTTCAGAGAAGAAATAGATTGTGTTATGTAGCACTTCGAAGTTTAATTGAATTAGATTGAAATATTAATCTAAGGTGTTAAGTGGTAGTCATGGTAAATTCTTTGTTTGTAAGATTTAGTGATACATGCATTAAGGAAGAAGTTAGAATTAGTGGTGGAAAGACAGTTTGAAATGAAAATTTGGTGGTGGAGTATTTGATTTATGTTTGTGTGATAAGTGGTAAAATGTGGGATATAATTAAGTCTTAGTTTATCTTGTTGGATTAGTTGGACTGTTATGCCCGGAAAAAAAACAGAGAAAAAAAATCATATTACAGATTGATGCGAATATATAATTTGTACTTTATAAAAGGGGGGGGGGAGGAAGGGAATTGGGTGGGAGGAAATATTTGATGGGGCAGTCAAAATGAAATTGTAAGCTTGTGTATGTGTGTGTGGACCTACTGTACTGTGAATGGGCTGGAAATAAGTGAGTAGAACAACTAATTTTTTGTGTATGAGAAATTTGTGGAACTGCAGAATAGTGTATGTATAACAAATACAAAGACGTTAGTTGTAGACTATCTAGGGTTTTACAAATGCACATGTGCTGAGCATGTTTTCTGTAAAGTATGAATTTGTATAGTGTTTCATTGGTGTGAATATTTTGTGAATCTTATCAGATAAGAAATTGAATAGAACATGTCGATAAAGTGCTGGGGATCAATCGGGGGGGGGAGGGGGAGGGGGAAAGGAAGGGGAAAAGTTTTGGGGAAAGTGTCTTACTGTGAATGTGGGTGGGGGTGTTGAAACTGTTGAGGTACATGTTTTGATGTGTGGTGTAGGGGATGTGGGTATGTATCGGTTAGATTATCTTAATGATGTGATGTAGTTATTAATGCAGCTCGAATTGTTGTTATTGGAATTCTTTTGTTAGGTTTAGATGAGTTATGATAGTGACAAGAGATACTCAGTGAGAATGAAGTGCAAAAAGATAATTGAATAGGATGTGGAAGCAAGGGCGGATCCAGAACACAATTTTGGTCCCCCCAAAAAGTGGGTCCAAAAATTACGGCGTGGGGTTTGGGGCTTGCTCAAGGGCCACGAACAAATTGTGAATTCTAGATGCTCTGTGGTGCGATCTGAGGCAATTTCTGACCACTTTGCCTGCCTTTATTGTGATGTCACATTAAAAAAAAAAAAAAATTGTTTTCTTTTTATGGGGGGGGGGGGCATGGCCCCCTTTGGCCCCCCCCCCCCCCCCCTGGATCTGCCCTTGTGTGGAAGATCAGTATGAAATGTGAGGATGAAGCGGATGTGAATATTGGATAAATTGTACAAGTATGTGCAGGGTGCATGGTTGCCTGATGTGGGTTGAATGAAGTGGACTAAATATGGAAATGTAATGGTAAATGGATAATGGAGTCAATTGTTGAAATGAAGTTAAGTTGAAATACAAGTGTAAATACTTACTGTTTGATACTCTGCACAACTTTGGTTGTCATGTTGTATGTCATTTGAGCACACATTGGCAGCTGGAAGTTGTGCAAGGATTTGATGTTTGCGAAGTCGAGGAGCATTTGCTCAGGCACATAGAACTCTTCGTCAGTGTCAGAGAGAAGAGTTACGTTGAATCTGTAGAAAATAGTGATTAAGTTTGGTGGAAATGATATGCAGTGTTAAATTAGAATGAAGAAGAGTTTCATGACTTCTAAGAAATAGTGTGAGATTTTACATGAAATTGACACAAGACGGTGTCAGAGCTGGGGGTTGGTGAGATAATAATAGGCTTGTCCTGAATCAGGTGATATAGTAACCGTGTTTGGTCTGAAAATGCGAAGTTGAGACAAGCAAAGCATTATATTAAAGGTAAGATACAACTGGGGGGGAGGGGCGTAGGGGGGGGGGGGGGGCGACGGCCCCCCATGAAACCTTGTCGCCCCCCCCCCCCAGTTGCCTCTCCCACTGAGATTTTGAGTTTGTAAAAAAAATATCATTGATCTACATGATGCCCCCTCCATGAAATGTTCCACCACTCCAGGCCCTCCCCCCCCCCCCCCCCCCCCCCCCCCCCCAACTGAAAAATTCCTGGCTATGCTACTGGATACAACATTTGCAAACATCACAAAATGAAATGATTAAATTATGAGAAAATGCCTTACTGCATTGTTAGGCAATGACAGTTGAAAGCATCCTGTAAAAATGTGGGTCATGGTATGGTGACATTTTCCAGAAAATTTGTATTTTTCCAATGGTGGTCAGCTGACTAGCGTTGGAGAAAACTGGCTTTGTTGAAAAGATGCTCGTAATTTTTACTAATTAGTTATTGTGCATCTTTGCTATTGATTACACATCTGTGAAGGGGTACAAGCCTTGTAGACTGATTCTCTGACCTTACCATCCCTGAAGTCTATAAATTGGTTTTATTCATCTTAATTAGTGTTTCATGGGGTGAGGGAACCAGACTACAAGAATGATAATTGGCTTTCTTGAGTTTTTTTGCATGCATGAGCCCAAAATGTGAATTAAGTCATTTAATAATATTTGCTATACCACACTGATTCAACAAATTCATTTATTTCTGATAATTGCAGCAAAAGCAAATGTTGTACATTGCCCAGTGTTCCAGTTCAACTTATCTTGAAAATGCCTTAACTGTTTGAGTTTAGCATGTGGAGATTGATTTTGGAAGAGCAAGGTAAGATGGTATTAAAAAAATTATGAAAGGGGTTAGGGTAAAAAAAAAAGGGTTGGATGATTGCTTTGTTAATGAATGAGACTTTTTAGCATAAAGCAGAGCATCTATACAGGCAAGAGGCAGTGTACGATATTTTGTAAGGATTTGTATAGTTGTTAGAAGAGATGTAATAAGAAGAAAGTTAGAATGAGAAAAAAAAGTGTGGTCTTACCTTTCTTCACAGTATGCAGTGATGTTGATGTCTTTTGTATCAGTTGCAAGTTGCTCCTGTTGAATTGGAAGAATAAAGACGAGTAAGAAAATATTGAATGAGTGGTATGTGTTTGTGAATTTTTTTTTTTAAATAAGACAATTGTGTTTTGTTAAAATTTGGGTAGTTTGTAGACGCTGTGATTTGGTAATTTTTGGGAAGGTTGTATATTTAGGAAAGTTAATGGTTAATAGTGGAATATATGAAGTTGTTTTGCACTTTTGTAATAATTTTCTTCTCCACAGTCATATGAGAGGAACATTGACAAATGTTATTGTCGGACACAACCAATGATGGAGCAAATTGGAGAGGGGATCAGGAATGGGTGTACCATGGGTTTTGTGAGTGTAAAAGGTGTGTGTCTTTTCTCTCTCTAGGTAATTAAGTTTAAAATTGTATTTGTGGGGGGAAAAGGGTGGGGGAATTAGCAGTTTGTTTGTATGAAGGGATGTGTGGATGAAAGTAGTAGTCTATGAAATGAAATTATACTGGTGGGTTCCATTGTATTGATTGTAAATATTTTTGAAAATTAATGAAAAATGAAATGATGGGTTTTGAAAAATATGTTAAAAATTGATTGCTTACCTTGATATTTGTTTCAGGTGTAGTGTTGAATGAGATCTGGCCTTGATACAAGGATGTCTCAACGTTGGTGACTTCTACCATAGATCTCATGGGTGGGACCGGAGTTGATGACATGTGATTCCAAAGGTTCACAACGACTTTGTTCGGACATGATGTTTGTGAGAGGTGGAGTGTCTTCCGTTTCCAACCTGTGGCCTCCTTGACCGGTGAGACCTGAAAATTATAAACCACAGTTAATGTATATGTTTTGCACTGTCTGTGGTAAAGTGTTGTTTGTTGACAATATATGTATTATTATGTGAGGTAGAAGAGTTTGATACTTATGGTTTGTTAAAAAGTATGTTGTGAAGGGAATGTGTATTGAAAGGCTTAGATAAGAAGAATTGTAGTATGATGGTTTTACTTACATAGGTCAATATGCCTTTGATGGATGCGCGTCGGTATGGTGGTAGCTGGAGTGCTTCCTCGACGCTCACAGGGTCAGCGTGGAAGAATTGTTCTTCAATTTCAGCCGGGATGAAGAATGGTTGACAGTGGAAAATCTGAAAGAAAAAATGGCAGTAAAAAAATAATAGTACAGTTGTGAACATAGAATGTCCATGGATCACCTTGGGAGGCTAGTTTTACTACACCATTCCAAGCAGTCAATATTTGTATAAAAAGCTTATAAAAATGTTATTTAAGTAAGGGTGTGTAAGTAGTATGACTGAAATTAACTTTTTAAAAATCAAAAGGAATATAGAATATACCCCAATATGGAAATAAATGGCAGGGATTAATATTTTATGGAAATTAGATATATTTTGGTCAAACTTAAGGGTGGCATCTACCTACATTTTGTTCTCCATCGTTGCACTGATTTATGTAACATGGTTGCGTGCTATTACCAAAAAAAATGCAACTAAAGTTAAATATTCAACTTCAGTGCTGGTCGATTATTGAAGTTTGTAGAGAAATATGCACATTTTATATAAAGTGTTTGAAACTTTGCATACTTACTCGGGTCTTTGCATTGACTTTGATGGCACTTTCGTGGTTTGCTAGCTCAAATGAAGTATAGCCTACGAGTTTGTAGTAGTTGCCAACCTCGAATTTGGCTTGTGCTTCATGGAACATGTACAACGGTTTCACTTGGTGATCACCTGTGATGCATCTCATTATGTACATCGCTTTAGGTCGCTCTTCTGCTGCTGTGATGATTTTAATGTTGACAGCTGACATCTGATAATAAAAATGTGATAATACTTAATTTAATATTGTGTAAAATGCACATGTGTATACTTCACCAATGTTAAAATAAGCTCGCTGTAATGAAAATATACACATTACTGTATATATTGTTTAATGTAGTTTATTATTAACTAAATATGATTTTAACAGAGGTTTTGTTACATCTTTAAAATGTTTTGCACGAGGTGCAGTAACATAATAAGTCTGATTTAAGGATTCCATTAGTTGTTTGGCTATTAGTGCAACACCTATTGTTAATTATTGCATGAATGTACTTTTGTTTTTGTTACTATTATTGTTTTCAGGAAATTGTTCTCCACAACTGTTTGTCAAAATGAAAACACAAATGAAAATACATGAATGGAGAACCCACTGAAGATGCTTTTTTTTGTAATTATGAAGTCATCATGGGTTGTGTGACGTACGTCTGCACTTCAAAGGTTAATAATTTAATCTTTCAAATTTAAAATATAATTAAATTAACATGAGAGACATGAAGTTGAATGTTGTGGGAATTGACATGATAATACATGATCTGTAGTTTATCTTTTGTGTGTCAAGTCTTGTAAGCCTTCCTTCCAGTTGATATCAGAAGTGCCTAATAATTTGAAAGTGGAAAAAGATATGGACTTGTTGTCAACGGTGTTAGTCTTTGGGTGCGTTCAGTGTTCCAGAAAAATGATTGATGATGCCATTAAGTGTTTGAGCACCCTCTAGGGGCAGGTAAAAAAAAGTTGAAAATGTATTTTGTCATTACTGACAGTCATTAAGATGAAGGCCAAGTTATAAGTTATCTGTAAGTTATAAAGTAAATTTCTTCATTGTATGAAGAAAAAATGTAGTGTGAGGTTGCAACATGTTTTTGTGAGGAAAAAATGATGGGAGCTTGATAATTGACAAAGGATTGATGAATAATTTTAGTAAGTTGATGCAGCTGCAATATAGTCAATCAGGAATTTGACATATAGGGCTGAAGGTAAAACTATGTAAGTACATTCTAGATTCTAAGGGGTCCTAAAAATGTGACTCTGATCTGTATCTGTAGCACTAAAATGGTTATTTTTCCCTCTAGTTTCCCAATGTAGATTGCATGGAAAATATCTCATTCATTTGAATATGTTTGTGAGTTGGGGTTAGTAGACAGGAGAAAGATCATAACAGAGAGTCCCATTTTTTAGGCCTGTTAGAATCTCGGATCTACAAGACAGTTTAAGCTCCACATGTCAAATTCTTGATGACCATGGAGCTGGAGTTAGTCAAGGTAAATGAAGAAATGTAAATGATAAGAGATTAATGTGCAGTATATAAGGTTAATAAATGAAAGGTTTGTGGAAACATCATATGTGAATAATAGTTCTGAAAGGAACAAAAGGTATCAACATGATGTTCTGGTCAGGTGACTGTGTTGAGGAGAGTGCCTAATAAAGTCTAAGAAAGTAACCACCTAAGTAGCAAAGGGAAATTGATGAAGTGTGAAGTTACCTCTTAGTGGATTTTAAGTAGCTGCTATGGGAGTGTGGAGCAAGGTTATGGTGTGTCCACTGAAGTAGAACAGTTGGATTCCACTCTTGGTAGGAGGAGGAGCTATAGGAGACCCATTGGTCTGGGGTAGTGGTAGATCGAGAGGACCTAGGGTATAGGAGATCCACCAGTCTATAGGAGCGGGAATCAGATGTCGTTGAAGTGTGAAGTTGCATCCTATAGTGGATTAGTAGGTGATTGGAGCCAAGAGCAAGCTAATGGACGTGCTCACTGAAGTGGAACAGTTGGGTTGCAGTCTCAGTAGGAGGACCTAGGGTATATGAGACCCATTAGTCTGTAGTATTAGAGGACTTAGGATATAGAGTCCCATCATTGTATAGGAGTGGAAGTCAGATGTTGTTGAGGTGCCACAATGTCTTGAGGAACTGTGTTGTGCTTGTGGATCTCAATGGTTCCTCATGTCGATGCGTTGTGGATTCCAGAACTGGATCGAGGCAATGAGTTTGGCTGCATGCCAATCAACATTGTGATAGTTAATGTGGGAATGTTTGACAATGGCCGATATCCGTCACCAGACTTTTCAGTCTGGGGGGGCACAGGGGGGGCACCAGCATTTGATGGGGGGCACTTAGGTGGATACGGATCGCCGTCCTGGGGGAGGGGTCTAAGGGGAGGGGGTGCCCCCCTCCCCTTTGGAAAATTTTCGCATACGGAGGATGGGATAGATGCAAAATGGTGCCACATTTGATGCTAAATTCGATCTGAAGATATCTCCAGAAATTGCTATTTTCGAGGTAATGATTTTAACAACGCGCAGAATTTTTTTTTTACCAACCCAAATCTCAGATGGGGGGGCACTCGGGGGGGCACTAGGTTTTCCAGGGGGGGCACGTGCCCCCCCTGGCCCCCCTTGGCGACGCCACTGCCGATATGTGAAAATGTCTTCGTCGTCCATGTGGTCTGTACATGTTCCTTGAGTCTTGTGGGAAGGTTCCAACCAGTTTCCCTAATGTAGACTTTGCTGCATTTACATGAAATGCGGTAGACTGTTGGCTTGGAGGAAGTGTCCTGCGAGTGTGGAGGATGGCTTGGAGCTTGTCGGAAGATGAGTGATATACCTTGACACAGCTTGTCGGAGGATGTGTTGGAGATCAATGATGAGAAGCTGGACCTTTGTATGGAAGAGTGACTGAGGGAGACACAGTGGTAGGACCTTGGGTAGAGGAGACCCCTAGGTTCAGGTTTGCTGATCCAACCGCATTAAGATCATCAAACCTGACCAACAGGTCTCCTCTGGGGAAGGTCCTTCCACTGTATCTGCCTCACACTCAGTCACTCTTTTGTACATATGTGCAGCTTCTCATCATCTCCAATGCATCCTTTGACAATTAGCTGGTGTCAAGGTGTATCACTCATGTTGCAAGAAGCTCCAAGGCACCCTCCACACTCACATGGACAAGCAGGACTCCTTGTCCAAGCAGGGGGTCTACTGCATTCCATGTAAATGTGGCAAAGTTTACATCAAGGAAACTGGTTGGAACTAAGGTTCTAACCAGGCTAAAGGATTTTCACAGACCACATGGATGATGAGGAGATTTTGACAAATCGGCCATTGTCAAACATCCTCACGTACATTAACGACCACAAAGTTCTTTGGGATGCAGCCAAACTGGCATCAGTCTGATCCAGTTGTGGCATCCATGATGCATACGAGAAGCCATTGACATCTGGTAAGCATGCAAAGACAGTTCCACAACTGCCACAAGACATTGGGTTTCACCTTAATAACATCTGGGTCCTACTGCTACAGACTGATTGGTCTCCTATACCCTAAGTACTAATGGGTCTCTTGAACCCCAGGTCGTCCTTGTACTGAGACTGTAACTCTACTGTTGCACTGGTGACTGCGTTATGTTCCGACACCCCTATATGATGTTCCGACAACCTGGATTGTGTTACTCCCGGTTAGGGTTAGGGTTAGGAATAGGAATATGTGCAGTCGGAACATAGGGGTGTCGGAACATAGAGGTGTAACTGTTGCACTTCATTGGGCATTATCCAAGCTTGCTCTAGGCTCCCATCCAGCTACTTGGCATCTACTAGGATATGCAACTTCACTCTTGAAAGGCATCTAGTCCCCACTACTACAGAGTGATGGGTTTCCTATACCGTAGGTCCTCTGCTACTACCTAAGACTAATGGGTCTTCTATACCATATAGGTCCTATAGTTATACTGAGACTCACTGCTGCAACCATACTGTTCCACTTCAGTGGGTAGACCAAGCTTGTTCTAGGCTCCCTGTACTTGGCACCACTAGGATGCAACTTCACACTTCAATGACATCTGGCTCCTGCTGCTACAGACTGATGGGTCTCCTATACCCTAGTTCCTCTCGATCTACTACTACTAAGACTAATGGGTCTCCTATACCCTAGCTTCTGCTTGTACTGAAAGTGTAACATGATTAATTGATCCACTTCAGTGGGCACACCTTAATTTTGCTCCAGGTTCCCATAGCAGCTATGTAACGTACTTCACACTTCATCGATTCGCTTTTGCTACTTAGGTGGTTACTTTCTTAGACTGAGAATTTAGGCACTCTCGTGCTGGTCAGAGCTGGAATGTGACTTCACAATTTTAGTAAAGGGAAATAGGGCCTAGGCCTATGTTCATAAGTAATTAGGGATAGGCCTATATGGTGTACTTAACACAATAATACTTTTGAACAGCCTTTGTCTTTAGTAACTTAGACTTAGAGTTGTTAACTGCATTTGGTGGTGAGCATGCATGTCGAGCGATATATTAATACTTAGGTGATATATGTAGCTCCGTGGTTGAGCATATATCTGACTAATTTAGACCCAACTTATTGACTTTTTAACATTCGAACATGGTCTGGCGATGTCCGAATGTTAAAAAAGGCGATAAGTTAAGGAGTGGACTACGTTATTGAGCTCGTACATGAATAGCACGTGGTGAATATTGCTCATGGCCCATGGGTTGAAAATTTGGTCTGAAAGAAACATGAATTTTTCATTAGAAAAAAACACTGGAAACTGTTTATTTGGCTTTCCAATGATGTAAGACAAGTGCCAAAAAAGATGAGATGAAAGTTACCTTTCGCTTTAGTGTAGTTGTTGGCCAAGTTGAAGTAGAACTTTTGTCAGGCTTAGATCATATATGAAGATAGCGCTAGATCGAATTGGTTTGTTTCTCAAAAATCTGTTGTCAAGGGGAGGTATACGTAGCGCATGCGCGAGCGATTTGGAAATCTGCCAATTTCACGGAGCTGCTGAGGAGAAACAGTTGCTTAGCACACAAATGTTTGGCTAATAAAGGCAGGTTAGCAGCCAAAACTCCAGGTAATGTATTTTGCTCGTGATTATAGTATTCAGTTGTTGTTTGCTTTGCATGAAAATCACATGGACTTTTGGCTAATAACCTTAACGAAACTTCACCAAACTGTTTTGTGCTAAGTGAAATGTTTGTGCTTAGCAGCGCCGCGAAGTCGGCCCAGATGTGGACTTGGTTATTGGTTGCATTTCTAAGTTATGCAAATTTGGAATGTTTAATCAAAACGATACTAGGCGTTTAATACAAACGCAGAGTGGTCGGGTAGATAACTATTTTATGAAACAACAAAGGTCAGACAATTTACATTTTTAAATACAATTAGTTATTTGTTTAAAAATTCACTTTTGTTTAGGTAGTGATCAATGTGTGTATATATTGATTTTTTAAACACGCACAAGTAATTAATTTTCTAGTTTGATTACGCCATTATAAGAGGGGTAGTGAATACTGATGTTAGTGGGAGAGGATACATGCTCATCGAAGTTAAAATATGTGACGCTTGAAAATTAATATGGAA